GCAGCTTTGCTGCCTTGCCTCGGGTTTTAATATTATTAATACTATATATACTTTAGCTACTGCCTCGGCAGCGTTGCTGCCTCGGTTTTTAATAATATTGTTAATATTATGTACATGAATCGATCAACATATATAAATAATTTAGCTACTACTTCGGTAGCGTTGCTGCCTCGGCTTTTAATAATATTCTTAATATTATGTACATAAATCTATCAATATATATAAATAATGTAGCTACTGCCTCGGCAGCGTTGCTGCCTCGGCTTTCAATAATATTGTTAATATTATGTACATGAATCTATCAACATATATAAATAATTTAGCTATTGCCTCGGCTACTAATAATACAATAATAATTTATAATGCTTGAGCCACTGCCTCGGGAACTAATACTACATTATTACTTTGAAAATCATTTAAAACGAAAAAAAAAATTACTAAATGTAAATAACTCACTTTTTTTTCGAGCTCCATTAAAACTTAAACGTTTCGGATCCCTTTTAGGGCCAGTTTCAGGCGCGTTTTCGTCCTTGTTTACCGTGCTAACAACGGAATACGATCTTTGCAACAAGCGGCTCCAAATTTTATAATGTTCCTTCATTCTTAATTATCGATAAAATGAACAACACAAAAATGAAAAATTCGAAATAAATCTGTATCAAATGTTAAAAGCGGACAACCACGTTGGCTTTCGCGAAGTGTCTGTTTGAAACGCGGTGTCGTTTCCTGCTTTTAAAATGCCTCGGCCAAAACACTCTCTCTCTTTTTGTTTGGGACTGCTTTTTCGCTCGTTCTTAAAGATGGTATGGGGTATGTGAGCGCGGCGTGATTTTTTCGGTTCATTTTGGAACGATAATCTTCGAGAATTCTCGTTCCAACCGGTTTTCGAAAAAATTATTTTTTAAATAATTACTTTAGAATAAAATTGTTGTTAATAAATTAATAGTACATGTGTTCATGGTTAGAGTAACAATAATAAACAGTTTAGAAAAAGATGGAACAAAATGCACAGGTGAGATGATGACTCGGTTGCGATCATTTGGAAAAAGCCCGATAAAAACAAGAAATTTGTTTTTTGGTGTGACGCACGAAACCACCGTCCTTAGGAGTCGCAAAAAAATTTTCCTGCCGCAAATTCCTTTTGTAGCAGTTTTTGTGCGTGCTGTTGATGGTGATTATTAAAATCAAAGTTGAGAACATCGGGAATAACAGAATTAAATATCTAAACAAATCGATTGATCGCGCATTCGTTTTATTCTAACCTCTATTTTAAGAACTCTTAAGAACGGGTTTTTTTGAACCAATTTTTTGTGCTGTGTTGATCGATTTCGAATTGATTTTTTGTTAATTAACCTTGAAATAATTAGAGGTATTTTTGTTTGCGGAAATTTTCCCAAACAATAACTTTTAATTAAGTAATTAACTCATTTCAATCGACTTTATTTGTAAAATAATGATAAAATTAGTTTTCCTCGTAAAAAATCCTTTAAAATGAGTACCAACACGATGGGGTTATCTCGAAAAATAATTATTTTCAAGATGGCCGACATCGATTTTTGTTTTCTAGCTAACCTTAAAACAGTGTTTAGATTAATTTTAAAGGATTTTTCATTCTTAATAAAAAAATATTGTAATGTTATCAACTTTGCGTTTATTGTAAACTGATTTTTCAAAATGGCGGCGAATTTTTTGAGATTTTAGGTTATCTTTCGCATTTTTAAAGACAACCCCATCAAGTTTGGACTTATTTTAAACGATTTTTCATTTTTTATAAGAAAATATCGATTGAATATTTTTTACTTTTTAGGTTAGGTTATCACAGATTTAAAAAAAAAATTTCTTTTCATTAATTTTACATCAATATTCGTAATCTAGATGAAAAATCCGTTAAAATGACACCAAACACGATGCATTTATTTAAAATCAACCCAAATTCCATTATTTCAAGATGGCGGCGATTTTTTTTTTGGAGATTTTAGGTTATCTTTCGCATTTTTAAAGACAACCCCATCGAGTTTAGACTCATTTTAAACGATTTTTCATTTTTTATAAGAAATTATAGATTAAATACTTTTTTATTTTTTAGGTTAGGTTATCTCAGATTTTAATAAAAATTTTCTTTTTATTAATTTTACATCAATATTCGTGATCTAGATGAAAAATCCGTTAAAATGACACCAAACACGATACATTTATTTAAAATCAACCCAAATTCCATTATTTCAAGATGGCGGCGATTTTTTTTTGGAGATTTTAGGTTATCTTTCGCATTTTTAAAGACAACCCCATCGAGTTTGGACTCATTTTAAACGATTTTTCATTTTTTATAAGAAAATATCGATTAAATATGTTTTTACTTTTTAGGTTAGGTTATCTCAGATTTTAATAAAAATTTTCTTTTTATTAATTTTATATCAATATTCGTAATCTAGATGGAAAATCCATTAAAATGACACCAAACACGATGTGTTTATTTAAAATCAACCCAAACTCGATTATTTCAAAATGGCGGCTAATTTTTTTGACATTTTAGGTTATCTTTCTCAATTTTAGAGATAACCACATCGAGATTGGACTCATTTTAAACGATTTTTCATTTTTTATAAGAAAATATGGATTAAATACTTTTTAACTTTTTAGGTTAGGTTATCTCAAATTTTAATACAAATTTTTTTTTCATTAATTTTACATCAATATTCGTAATCTAGATAAAAAATCCGTTAAAATGACACCAAACACGATGCGTTTATTTAAAATCAACCCAAATTCGATTATTTCAAAATGGCGACGAGTTTTTTTGACATTTTTGGTTATCTTTCGCATTTTTAAAGATAACCCCATCGAGTTTGGACTCATTTTAAACGATTTTTCATTTTTAACACGAAAACATTAACAACAATAAAATTTAATTATTTTTTTGGTTAGGTTGTATTGAATTAAGTTGGCTCACAAATTTTTTTATTACAAAATTTTTATTTTTAATCCCTATTATAAATCAAAACATCTTTTAGAATATTTAGAACAACACCGTAAACGTTAAATTTATTTCACACCAAGTTTCAAAATGGCGGCTTAATTAATTTAAACATTTAGGTTACCTTTCTTAAATTTAAAGATAACCCCATCGAGTTTGGACTCATTTTAAACCATTTTTAATTTTTAATTTATTTTTATTCATTTCGACCCGATCTTTCAAAATGGCGGCGATTTTTTTTTTAATTTTAGGTTATTTTAGGCGATTTTAAAGATAACCCCATCGAGTTTGGGCTCATTTTAAACGATTTTTCATTCTTAACACGAAAACATCAACAACAATCAAATTTATTTAATTAATTTTTTTTTTGAGTCAAGTTTTTGAGTCAAACTTCCATTAATTAATTTTTAATTCTTATTTTAAATAAAAAAAAAATCTTTTAAATCATCTTGACGCATTTTGCAAGATGGCGGATCACTTTTTTGGCAATTTTAGGTTATCTTTTTTAAATTAAGAGATAACCCCGCCGAGTTTGGACTCATTTTAAACGCCTTTTCATTCTTAACGCAAAAACAATAACGACAATCGAATTTATTTATTTATTTAAGCGACGTTAATTAATTAATCAAATTTAAACATTTTTATTCGATTCTTTCGCCTTTACTATTATTTTGCGTTTATAATTACTCGTTTTTTTTATTTTTTTTTTCTACTAATGCCCATCTAATTGCGATTACTTTGTTTTTTTTATCAATTTCAGCCACACGTTTCATTGATTTCGTTTGCAAATAACTTAATTGTTAATAATTAGCGCATTTATTTTCTATTCAAAAAAAATTAATCGATTTTATTATCAAGTCATTTTCTTTTTTAATTATTACCCAAGATTTACCTCAAATTAAATCATATTTTGGCTTACCTTTAAATCGATGACGTGATTTAAAAGTTGTTTCATCACTTTTCATAATTTTCGCCGTCGGGGGAACAACTTTAAATCGGCTCAGTAACTTTTGAACTTGAACGTTCACGTCTAAGGTCATCCTTTTGATTTTTCTCCAACAAGGACTATCTAACAATATCGAATTATATTAAACAGCATTACTTTTAACTTTATCGTTATCGATTCGGCTTATTTATAACAACTAGGATGTTAGTTATTACGTTAAAAATCTTAAAGCATGTTTAATTTGTTAGGTTTAATCGGGTTTGATAACCTTTCCGATTTTTTAATGTTTAAAAGTCTTCTAAATCTTCGATACGAATAACCTTACATTAAAACACTTTTAATTTAAAAGTTTTTTAACCTTGAATTGAATTTAAAAACGCTTCCTATTTACTCAATTTTTTCGCAGTAAACTATATTTATGTTTTTATTTTAAGGTAATTTTGGGGACAATCTGCATTGAAGGAAAACGAGATTAAAAAGGTAAGCTCTCAAAATCCTTTCACCTCTCATTAACTCGCGATTCGATTTTATTTTTACTCGACTTATAACGTTGCGGTTTTAGATAATTCGTTTTGAAATTGTAAAAAGTTAAAAATTTTGATTTACCTGCGATTATCCAACAAAACATGATTTCAAACACGATTTTCTCGTCGCTTGTTTAAAGCACTACGAAGCCGCGACTATCTTCGAGTTCTCTCCGACCTCTGACTTTGTATTATTTATTGAGAGCATAAATTGAACCGCGTTATACATCACTTGACTAAGACATTTTATCGTTTTTAGAGATTTTTATGCTGTTTGGTAGGTAAAGGTGTAAATTATCTTAGAAAAAATACAGAATACCAAAAGACCTAAAATATTATTTGTTTTAAAGGTTTATGTCTTTTATTTTATATAGAATTTAAGACTCTACAAATAGATGAACATCTCTCATCTTATCCATTTTACAAACGATATGTTGCATATTTTTATTATGCTAAAACTAGAACTAACACTAGACCTAGAACTAGAATCATCCGGATTTAGCCGTCTTGAGAGACTTGCGGCTAAATCCGAATGTTTCTAGTTCTAGCTCTAGTGTTAGTTCTAGTGGCAGTGCTAGGTAGCGCTAGTTAGCATAAGATATTACTAAACGAAAAAGTTCGAATTTTCAACTATTAATTTTGACATATTTGTTAACTTCATAAAAAAACCTTTAAAATGAGTCCAAACTCGATATATTTAACTTTGATATTAATGGAGATTCAATCACTTCCGGTTTGAAACGTCAATTTTGACATATTTGTCATCTTCATTAAAAAACCTTTAAAATGAGTCCAAGCTCGACATATTTAACTTTGATATTAATGGATATACAATCACTTCCGGTTTGAAACGTCAATTTTGACATATTTGTCATCTTCATTAAAAATCCTTTAAAATGAGTCCAAACTCGACATATTTAACTTTGATATTAATGGAAATACAATCACTTCCGGTTTGAAACGTCAATTTTGACATATTTGTCATCTTCATTAAAAAACCTTTAAAATGAGTCCAAACACGATGCATTTATCTCAAAAAACAAAAAAGTTAGAATAAAAAATATTAAACCCGAAGTTAGCAATAATGAAAATAACAATTTAATTTTTGACATTTCAAACCGGAAGTTGAAGTTACATCTCGCGTAATATTGGAATTAAACGTATCGTGTTTGGACTCATTTTAAAGGATTTTTTACGACGATTACAAATATGTCAAAATTGACGTTGACATTTCAAACCGGAAGTTGACCATATCTTCATTAATATTAAAGATAAATATGTCGTGTTTGTATTCATTTTACAGGATTTTTAATGAAGATTACAACTATGTTAAAATTAAGTTTAAAATGAGTCCAAACTCAACATATTTAACGTTTGTATTAATGATGATACAATCACTTCCGGTTTGAAATGTCAACTATTAATTTTGACATATTTGTCATCTTCATAAAAAACCCTTTAAAATGAGTCCAAACTCGACATATTTAACTTTGATATTAATGGAAATACAATCACTTCCGGTTTGAAACGTCAACGTCAATTTTGACATATTTGTCATCTTCATTAAAAAACCTTTAAAATGAGTCCAAACACGATGCATTTATCTCAAAAAACAAAAAAGTTAGAATAAAAAATATTAAACCTGAAGTTAGCAACAATGAAAATAGCAATTCAATTTTTGACATTTCAAACCGGAAGTTGCTGATATTTCGCGTAATATTGGAATTAAACGTATCGTGTTTGGACTCATTTTAAAGGATTTTTAATGAAGATTACAAATATGTCAAAATTGACGTTGACATTCTTAACCGGAAGTTGATCATAACTTTATTAATATTGAAGATAAATATGTCGTGTTTGTACTCATTTTAAAGGATTTTTAATGAAGATTACAAATACGTCAAAATTGACGTTGACATTTCAAACCGGAAGTTGACCATAACTTCATTAATATTGAAGATAAATATGCCGTGTTTGTACTCATTTTAAATGATTTTTAATGAAGATTACAAATATGTCAAAATTGAGGTTGACATTTCAAACCGGAAGTTAGTTATCATACAATAGACAAATGATCAACTTCATGGTGTTCTTTTATGATGTATTTTTCATTAAAAAAACCTTTAAAATGAGTCCAAACACGATTCACTTATTTCAAAAAACAAAAAAGTTAGAATAAAAAACAATAAACCCGAAGTTAGCAACAATGAAGATAGCAATTTAATTTTTAAATAATACCAACCTTAATTTTTGATTTTTTTTTTATTATATTTTTGTTTTTGTGACAAATATTGAGACATTTTATAAAAATTAAGAATATGTCAAAATGACATTGACATTTCAAACCGGAAGTTGCTTATATCTCGAGTAATATTGGAATGAAACGTATCGTGTTTGGACTCATATTAAAGGATTTTTCACGACGATTATAAATATGTCAAAATTGACGTTGACATTGTTAACCGGAAGTTGATCATAACTTCATTAATATTGAAGATAAATATGTCGTGTTTGTACTCATTTTAAAGGATTTTTAATGAAGAATACAAATATGTCAAAATTGAGGTTGACTTGGTTGATTCTTGAATTTTTCTTTTGTTAAAAAAGAGAGTTCGTCCTTAATTTTATTTTACAACTTTTTAAGCTTTAATTTTGTAAATAAGTAACTAATAATCTTTTTTAACGAAACAAAAATAAATATTAAGAAACTTGTTTATAAAATGGATAAGATGTTAATCTATTTGTAGAGTCTCTCAAGATGGCCAAGGGCCGAAACTAGTTAGACTTAAATTCTATATAAAATAAAAACCAGTTTAAAGTTTAAAATTAAATTTTCTTCAAAAATTTTTACACGAAACATCACTTTGACTCTAGTATTTGTGATTAAATTTATGCCATGATTTACAGAAACACCCTGTATAATCGTAAAACGACTGACCAAGCCAATGCTGTGTTTGTGATCACACAACATTATTGATGTATTCTTCTTATTGGATACGAATTAAATTAATCGGGGATTAATCAAAGAAATTTCTTGGGCGATCCGTAAACTTCGGATCATAGTTATCGTTTAATGAGTATTTCAATATTTTCGTTTACATAGTATTATTAAAAATATGGTAAAATGTGTATAAACATATTACTTTGTGCTTACAAATTTTTTTTTCATTTTGTTACTTCGAAGCGATGATGCAAAAAACAAGCGGAAAAGAGAATGATATAGAGTATTTTGTTTCTTCTTGTAATTTTCGCCTCTTTACCATTTATCATTTTATTTTATTATTATTATTATTATTAGCGTGTTGGGCTCTTTATTTCATCTTCTTTTGGGTTAAGACGGATTTATTTTTCTTCATCATAGCAGAATTCACTAAGATCCACCTCTTTATATTCATATTTACATATTTATTTATAATAGACAATATATATAACGTTATACATATAGGTTGATTCAGTTTTTAAATAGCAAATTTTCCAAATAAAAATTTTGAACCACCCTGTATTATATTTATATATAAAGTATGTATATAAACGTTATATCTTAATTTCCTTGTCCCAATAACTTCGTTCAATTCATTTTTTACAAAATGTACAATTAATTTTTTTTCAACAATATCAACAACTTATACAGGGTTAATTAATTTAATTATACAGGGTAATTTTTTAAGATTTTTCTCAGTCTTGTTGTATTTTTGAAATTTTTTTTTCACATTTTTATTCCTTCATAGACGTAGATAGAGAAAGTTCGAAATTGTTTAATTCAAGTTTAAGGGTGTCTAAATTTCAGCTTTAATTTAATTTAAATTAATATTTTTTTTTAATTATTAAGGCATCGCGATTTAGGTGGATCTTAGATTCTCCCCTACGACTTCTTTTTCCCCCCCTCTCCTTCATTTCCGTTTCCTTTTTCATTTTCTTTTTCTTTAGGGGATGATAACATTTCTAAAACGACGACGTGGTTTGTGCTCAATTTTTATTGTTTACGAAAAAGCTAGTACCAAAAAAATCGGGGTTTCCCCCCAATTTTTTTCTTGTATTTTGTTTTATTTTTTGGGTCTTTTCGGACTGGACGACGGGGATTCCTAAAAAATTAAAAATTAGTTACAATTATTAATAAAATAATTGAAATGTACCAAATCTAATTCATCTAGCGATTCTAATTTCGCAATCGGCGCCGTTTTCTCCTGCTCCTCTTTCTCCCTGAACACGATATCGGACCACGGATCTTTGTCTTTCGATGACGTATTGAAATCGAACGTTTTGTTGAAAGAGGCGAATCTGTGTAGCGCTTGGGAATGTAATAATTTCGAAGAAATCGGTTTCGGTTCGCTAACCGACCTCTGGAAGGTATATCTGGTTCTGCTCGCGTCAATCGTTACATTTTCGTACTCGGGAAGCTAAAACATTATTTCATTTTGTTTGTCTAAGCTATGCTGCCGAGGCAGTGGCTCAAATAATACAATTCACTAAGCAAAGGTTCCTATACAACGGTAATGTATTATTAAAAACCGAGGCAGCTATGCTGCCGAGGCAGTGGCTCAAATGTTATAATTCAATAAGTAAAGGTTCCTATACAACA